ACATGTTCGGAGGCCCGCTCTCGGAGTTCGTGGATCGATGCGGGGCGACCTTGGCGGCGCCTCCGTCGCGCGCCTGTTGTGCTCCGCGCGCAGGAGGGAGGAGGAGGAGGAGGAGGAGGAGGAGGAGGAGGAGGAGGAGGAGGAGGAGGAGGAGGAGGAGGAGGAGGAGGAGGAGGAGGAGGAGGGGGACGATGAGGTGGAGGAGGAGGAGAAGAAGAAGGAGGGGGAGGAGGAGGAAGAGGAGGATGAGGGGGACGATGAGGAGGAGGAGGAGGAAGAGGAGGAGGAGGAGGAAGAGGAGGAAGAGAAGGGGGAGGAGGAGGAGGATGGAGGAGGAGGAGAAAGAGGAGGGGGAGGAGGAGGAGGAGGAGGAGGAGGAGGAGGAGGAGGAGGAGGAAAGAGGAGGAGCAAGGAGGACCTCCCCTCTGACCGCTTCGTCCACCCCCTCCTCCCCTACTTCTGCTGTGTCCAGCGCCGATCCAAGAAACCCGCGCGGCCTTCTGAAAGTTTGGTGTTTTTGCTGTAAAGGAGTGAGCGACGAGTAGCTCAGGCCTCCCCTCGTCGCGAAGAGTAGCAGCGGGCGGTGTTTCAGAATGTTCGGCATCTGGGGGCCTTCACTGGGCCTCCAGCGCCGTCAAAAAGGACTCGTGATGAGACCTCTGGGGATCCACGTTGTGAGACGCGGGCGAGGTTGGAGATCCGGGAAGGGGGAGGAAGCCAACTCGATCCTGCTTGATAGTTCCTTGTTTAGAATCGAATGTCCAGAATCGTAGTTGTTGAATCCCTCCGTTGTCCAGAATGATAGCTGTTGATCGCGACCAAAGACACGTCCCTGGAGTCGCCACCTACGCATGCTTCTGGAGGGGGTGAGAAAGAGGTTGATGATGAGGAGGATGAGGAAGAGCAGGAAGAGGAGGAGGAGGAGGAGGAGGAGGAGGAGGAGGAGGGGGAGGAGCAACAGCAGCACCTGAAGCGGGGGGAGTGGGGGCGGGGGGAGAGAGAAGGAAAGGGAGCAGAAGAGGACTGGGGGAATGGGAGGAGAGAGGATAGGGGGGAAGCGGGGAGGAGGAAGGCAGAGGCGGGTCAAGGGGTCCCCGCATCCTCCCTGGCATCTCGTCTCATCCCAGGGAGGGGGGAGGGGTTGAGTTCCAGGAGGATGGATTGGGATAGGGAGGGGCAGGCGGATCGGGGTGGAAGAAGGACTGGGTGGGAGGAGGAGGAGGAGGAGAAGGTAGAGGAGGAGGAGGAGGAGGAGGAGGAGGAGGAGGAGGAGAAGAAGGGAGCGGATGAGGATGACGAGCACGAGAGGAGAGGAGGATGTGGAGGAGGAGGAGGAGGAGGAGGAGAGGAGGAGGAGGAGGAGGAGGAGGAGGAGGAGGAGAGAGGGAGAGGAGAGGAGAAGGAGAAGGAGAAGGAGAAGGAGAAGGAGAAGGAGAAGGAGAAGGAGAAGCAGGAGGAGAAGGAGGAGGAGGAGGAGGAGAAGGAGAAGGAGAAGCAGGAGGAAGGAGGAGGAGGAGGAGGAGGAGGAGGAGGAAGGAGGAGAGGGGGAGGGAGCAGGAGCGAGGAGGAGGAGGAGGAGGAGGAGGAGAGGAGGAGGAGGAGCAGCAGGAGCAGGAGCAGGAGGGGAGCAGGAGGAGGAGGAGGAGGAGGGGAGGGGGAGGAGGAGGAAGAGGAAGAGGAGGAGGGAGAGAAGGAGGAGGATGAAGAGGAGGAGGAGGAGGAGGAAGGAAGGAGGAAGAGGAGGAGGATGGAGGAGGAGGATGAGGACGAGGAGGAGGAGGAGGAGGACGAGGAGGAGGAGGAGGAGGAGGACGAGGAGGAGGAGTGGGAGGAGGAGGAGGAGGAGGCGGAGGAGGAGGAGGAGGGCAGGGTACTCAGAGCTGCGCCTTGGCGACGGGTTCCCTGGCCAGTCTCCTGATACTGTTATTCATAATCATCTTCCCCCCCTCACTCTTGTCCTCCTATCCTCCTTCTCTTCGTCCTCCCCGTCCTCCTGCCCCTTTCTCTTTTCCTCGTCTCTCCTCCTGCTGCGCCTCCTCCTGCTGCCCCTGCTCCATTGATGGGCTCGACGGATTGCAGGGTGCCTTGCAGGGTGAGGTGGAGGAGGAGGAGGAGGAGGAGGAGGAGGAGGAGGAGGAGGAGGAGCTAGTTCTTGAACATTATCCTCCTCCTGCTCTTAGTGTGTGTTTTTCTCCTCATCCTCCTCCTCCTTCTCCTCCTCCTCTTTCTCCTGCGCCTCATCTCCCTCACCCTTCGTCTTCCATGCGTCGCATCCCCTTGGGCCTGAGGCTGTCGACCGTCGCCGTTGGCATTGTCGTCCGTGCGGTGCAGAGCCCTGTAAGAGGTCGAAGGGTGCCATCATTAGGTGGCTCCGAGAGCCCTGCTGTGCCCCCGGCGTCGTTAACCCTTCCTGCCAGGCCCCGAAACGGAAGCTCCGACTCGCCGTGGCCTGACTGCGCATGCCTCTCACGCTATGCGGTGGTGGGAGGTGGGGGCGGGCTCTCGGAGAAACCTGATCTTAGCCTGCTCGTCCTGTGGTGGTTCGGGGACAGACCACAACAGGCGCAGTGGGAAGTTGTTGCAAGAATGCCAGCTTCCCACGCAAACGGGACTGGCTCATTCGAGGGCCCTCGAGAAGGGCCTCGCCCCTGGCCGCACGAAGCTGGCCAGGGAAATCAGTTCCCAGGTGTAACCTTGTGGAGCCGCGCGCAGCGCATCGTCTAATCTAACATAATCTCCTCCTCCGGTAAGGCCGTCATCCCCAAATACTTGGGTGGCAAAGATGCCACCGTTGATTGTTTTGAGTTGGGTTGCAGTCGCTCCACGCTCTCAGTAGTTTGTGTGCGAGCCTCTGCCCTCGCGGTGTCCTAATATGACCTCCTCTCCTTCGCCATGATATCATCTCATTGTCGTCTCCTCTGTCCACTCTCCCGTCGCCCTCATATCCAAGACCTCCGACGTCTGTTTTTTCACAGCGTAGACACCCAGAGGTATAGACACCCTCCCTGGCTTCCGCTCTTTCATCCTGAGCCGAAGTTGTGAGGGGCCGCGTAAAGGGGCACCCAAAAGTTCGTTTGCCAAGACATTTCCTTCGCGATTTTGCCACGAAGCTAGGAAGCCAGTGCAGTGATGAAGGTGATGAAGAAGCTCTGGAGGGGATGAAAATATACATAGATCGCCCGATCAACGAAACACGGTGACGAATGCTAAAGACGCATGTATCTAGACTATTCGGCCACCGACTATTTTTCTCATACCATGCACAGATTCATCTATCAAAGGACGAGTAAGAAAAATAGAGGGAGGGATCTGAAGCACGCAGGGGGACGACCAGTGAATCTCGACGACGACGCCCACGAGCAGGCCTGAAGACCAATTCATGGAACGTCACCCGGAGCGCTGCGGCGCCACGGCCCTCAGCCCCAGGCATTTCGGAGCTGGCATCATGCAGTCTGCCTCCGCCTGGGCACTGGCCCCCCCCCTGGGCCTCTCGTGGGCCGGGGGCGGCCAAGAGGGGGGTGAGGACTAGGGGGGCTTGGATATCGTGGCATGGGCCATGATATTCCCCAGATTTCATGGCGCCTCCTCTTATGTCATGACGTCCCTGGGCCCCCACCCCTGGGCCGCGCACATGCCGCCGGCCATGATTTGCGCCCCCCCTCTTGGACGCCCCCTGCCCCCGAATTCTGCCTCTGCCTGGGCAGTGGGTCCCCCTCTGGGCCTCTCGTGGGGTGCGCTCGGGTCAGCACTCCCACACGAACCCGGCCGTGGCGGTGAGGAGTCTCGGCCGAGGAGGCACTAAAAGGCCCAGAAGTCTCGAGACTTGATGCTCGATCCTGCACCAGAGGGTCCGGATAATTACCCTGACCCCCGACGTCAAGACTTGATTCATAACGTCGGCTCCCAGAGGTCTCGACCCATTCCCATTCCCCTGGGCCAGTTTTTTCATCTTGAGTTGTTATGTTGAACGTTCCAGGGCCCGGCGAGGACCCCGCAGAATACAGCAAAAGCCGTGGGTGGTGTTTTTGTCGATGACGCGAGGAGGTTTGGGTTCGGACGGGGCGAATCAGGACGAGGATAAGTCCTCTCCAGAGCGTTACGGAAAGGTTTCAGAGCGTTCCAGAACGCTATGGGAAGGCCGCGGCGCCCGACACATCCTCCAGAGCCGCCAGATCTCAGAGATTCTCAATTCATTGGGGGGGCGATGGTGGGGGGGCAGCGAGGGCTGCAGAAAAGGGGCCCTTGAGAGCCCCTGAAGGGGCCCTTTAGGGCCCCAAAGGGATCTTTTAGGGACCGATAAGGACATCTTTCTTCCCCCCCCTGTGGAGCGCTCCAAAAAGGGCCTCGCCTGCGAGGATCGAAGGAGTTGGCATCTCTTCCGCGGCGGAAGGCGCCGGAAGGCCGGCAGAAGTAGAACGAGGCCGCCTCCGCCGTCAGAAGCCAGCGGACGGGCGGCGGAAGGCGGCGGAAGCACAAGACGTGCCCCCAAGAGATGAACACGTTTTTGGGTTCAGGGTTTCCGAAATCGCCCATGCACCGCCCCCGCCATGTACAGTCGGGCAGGTGAAAGAAGGAACGCTAAATAAGGAACGAAGCCCCTTCTTGGCCCTGTGAGCGCCTCCGTGCCCCAGGAGGGCAAGAGGAACAGCACTGGAGGAACCTGAGGAACATCGAGCCCCTTCCGAACCCAAACTTGTTCCTTGTTTCAGCGTCTTGACTGTAGGCCTTGCCCGACTTGATCCTCTCGGGCCGGGCGAAAGGGGGGGATTGGGAAAGGGGGGGTTACGAAATTTGCTGCATGCAGCTGGTTTCGGCCTCACCGAGGGGCCCATTCCTCGATACATAGCCGCCTCCGGCGCCGGTGGGCGCCAGGAAAATCAGCTACGTGAGCTGATTCTCAAACCCCCCTTTGCCATCCCCCCCTTTCGCCCGAGGCCCGACCCGATCCTCGCCCGGGTGCGCCTCTCCGCCTCTCCCTGCGCAGCTGGCCGGGCGCTCAGGTCCGCCGTGCGCGAGAGCAGCGCGCCGAGCCACGTGGGCAGGAAGGCTCCCGTCCGAGGACGCCCGCTCCGCGCCGGCAGTCGCCACAGCCCTGGGATCTCTGGGCGCCGCGTATCGGGTATAGCCAGGACCCCGGGTAAGGGGACCCGGTTAGTGGTAGGGCCCAGGGGCCCCTCAATTGGCCAGATTCACTAAACCAGGTTTGCCGTAACTGGTGTTTTTCGGGTGACAGCAGTTCCGGTTAATGGAAATGGGACGGGGGGGCGCCCCCGGTACAAATCACTAAACCAGGTTCCACTAAACCCAGTTCTGCCAACGCCCGAGTGTAACCCAGACGCCCTTCGAGTAATGAAAGAATCGCGACGGGAAGTTTTTCGCCACCTTCGGCATCTGGAGGCCCTTACTGGGCCTCGGGACCGATGAAAAACGACTCAGGATGAAGAACTGGCCCCAGGGAATAGGTCGACACCTCTGGGGGTCGACGTCATGAATAAGTCATGACGTCGGGGGTCTTGGAATGGGGGGGCGATACAATGGGTGGCAGCAAGGGCCGCAGAACGGGGCCTCTGAGGGCCCCCGAAGTGCACCTTCTCCCCACCCCACGCATCGCCCCCAAACTATAAGCGTTGCCCAACCGCCCCGGCAGTCGCCACAGCCCTGAGATCTGGAGGGGGGTCAATGCGAGCGGGGGTCGGCCGGAGCGCCGGATCTTGCAGGATCTTGCGTAGCCAGGGGCGCATTGGCATGGGCTTGCGTGCGGGATCTTGCAGGGTCTTCAGGATCGTGCACGCAAAGCCTGACTGAACCGGGCTTGCACTGACCCGGGCCAGTGCGTCCCCGATGAGATCTGGGCGTCGCATTTGTTTCACACGGGGCGTTTTTCGCCCCGTGTCGGGCCCCGGGGCTATCACAGATCGACCAGTCGTGATTGTTGCACGATGTTGCATTTTTCCTTTCTGTCGCCAGCTTTCCTGGGAAAGTCGGCGGCGAGCGAGGGGGGGATTGAGGAGGAGCGGGCCTTCTCAGAAGGTTCAGAAGCACCCTGGCCTCCTGAGAAGTTTCCCAAGCCTTCCCCGAAAGCACAAAACACTTTCCAGAAGGCGCGAGGGCTTCTGAGAAGCCCCGCCGCCTTCTGAGAAGGCCTTCTCCTTCTCACTTCCCCCCCTCGCTCGCCGCCGAGGAAGGAAGGCAGACCTCAGGTTTTCCGCAGATTTTGGGCTACTCGGGGCCCTCCCCAGGCCCCGTGGACCGTCTGGTCTGATCATGGGGAGAAAAGTTCAAGAATGGTAAAACAATAGCCTGGTGACGATGTTCGAGTATTTTTTGAATTTAGTTTGGAGCATTTTCGGATGTTTGGTTGTCCTCCAAGATCCGCCTGTAGAAGGACGTGCCCGACCTAAGTCTGGACTTGTGGGAAGGCCCTATTGGATCCAGGTCCCGTTTCCCTCGGGGCAAGTTTTGTTGCACGCCGGCAGAAACATGGGGCTCGAGCTAGGAGGGTCGGATTTCGAGGTCTCTGGGCGTTTGGGCGTCTTCTCGGCTCCTCTCTCTCTGTCTCTCTCTCTCTCTCTCTCTCTCGATCGATCGATCGATCGATCGAAGAAGAAGAACAACAACAATAATAACAATAAGCAGAAGAAGCAGAAGAAGAAGAACCAACAACGTTGTAAACATACACTTTTAGCACTCCGCGCGGATTTCTTGGATCCGCGCTGGGGCCCCCCGGCGGCGCCTCCAGCGCCTCACCTGGCGCGCTCCGCGCGCCAGGGAGGGCCAGCGCAGATCAAGGAAATCCGCGCGGAGCGCCACTAGTTTATGCTTATGTCGTTGCTTCTTCTTCTATCCTCATCGTCACGGCTGGACCGCCTTGGAATTCTAACCCCAGCGGGCCCCTAGAGGTCCAGAGGAGGTCCCAGGGCACAAACCCCCTCGCGTCGCGCAAGAAACATGTGAGACGCTTGTTTTGGCCATGCTCGGCCTCTGTGGGCACCCTCTGGGCTCCAGGACCGCCGAAGAAAAAACTGTTTGTGCACAAACGTGCGGCCCCGTGGAAGCAGTCTCGGTTTACCTGCCTGTCCCTAAGATTGGTATCGCCTTATCTCGAAGCCGATCTTGAGGATCTCCGCAGCTTCGGAAGGCGCCTCCCTAAGATTGTCACCACCTTTGGGCTTGCCAATCTTAGGGACATGGATCAGTTCGAAGCCGGTCATTGATACCCGGTCCGAGGACGCCGTGCCCCCCAGACCTCCCATCGCTCCGAAATGCGAGGTGCCCGAAGTAAAGTCAACCCTCATAGCAAGGATGGGCAATTTTCCTAAGGGTACCCTTGCATCCTTGCCTCCTCGGTCCATCCTTGGCCACTTCCGCTGGCCGTGCCCTGCTCGAAAAGCTTCGAAATGGCTTTCCGAGGTCCTTGCATCTTTATCGTACATTTTATGAGACGGGTCGACTGTACAGTCGAGACGCTGAAGTAAGGGCCAGTGTTGGCTCGGGAGGGGGTCGCCTTGTTTCGGGCCGTGTTCTGTAGTGTTGTGTCGTGGAACCCGTGCTCGTGCTCCAACTCGCCCGTCGTCGGGAACGTTCCTTCGCTCCTGGTCTGGCGTTCTATGTTTTGAGTCGGGCATGTCCCTCTACAGGAGGAATATTCAAGGATAGTTAAAACATAGTCTGAGGACATTGTTTCGCGCTCTTCGGTTTTTTTAAATAATGTTCTGACTATGTCTAAGCGTTCTTTCAAAATCCGCCTCCTATAGGGGGACATGCCCGATCTAGTCCTCGTGGCAGCGCGTTGACTGTATTTGCGGTGGTGTGTCGTCGAGCCTTCAGGGGGATCCCCCCCAGACCCCCGCGTCGTGAAAAATCATGACGGAGGTTTCTGAGGGGCCCTTACCAGGCCTCGGGACCGTCAAAAGACGACTGAGGTTGCAAAACCGGTCCCCGGGGAAGGGGTCCAGATCTCTGGGGGTCGACGTTGCGAACAAGAACGCGACGCCAGGGGTCTGGGACTGGAGATCCCGGTCCGGCCGGGCCCGTCTCTGCCACTCCAGCGCGGGGCGGTCGCCAGGAAGGAGAATGCGCGTCCTCGTGGAGCGAGGGCCTCCCGGATGCTTTAGTTGTCTTGGGCTCTTCGGCCTCCTCTGGGGCTTTCCTGGTGCCCCCAGGTGCCGCAGAAATCGGCGCCACCCCAACGTACTTATACTATTTGTGCGTCGCCCCACCAGGACCGACGCGCGCACCGAGAAATCTTATAGTATGTGCGCCGTGGCGGGCTCTTTCTGGCCACACCGCTCGGGAAACGATATACCACAATATGGGTATGCTACGTGTTCGGGTCGACGCGTGCCTCCAAGGAGAACACATAGCATTCGTATGTCTCTGTGCGTCCCATAGAAACAATCACGCATGGTCGAAGGATCGGGGGCACCGATACACGCCAGTCGTTTCAAGTATGTATTTTTGGAACCCCAGATCCCAATCTACTTCAAGCGCCTTCGTACTTCAAGAATCGATATGATGTTGCTGTGTTGTGTTATTCTGTGGGAGGGCCTGAACCCAATCTACTTTATACCTCATGCTTCTACCCACTTCTTCCGACCGGCGTGTAGGGGGGGCATCACAGAGGGGGTGGGCGCACTGGCGCACAATCGTCCGCTCATCGCCGACAGGTCTGCACGAACGAAATGGGCACGGAAAGGATGGGTATAATGCCCAACAGCAGTTCTTGTTCATTCTGAGCATGACTCGCTGTCCTCGCCGCCGCGGCCTGTGTCCACTTGAGGCAGAAGGCCGCCTGCCCAACAGCGGCCGCTGTTGGTTTGGGACGACATTTGCTATTGGGCATCGTGCCCACTTCTTCCGCGTACCCATTCCGGGCGTCCAAAACAGGGGCCCGACAACCCCCCACACATGCCTCCAGGGGAGGCCGGGGTGCACGATCGGGGGCCCGTCGCCGATCGATCGGGGCGAGGCCTCGCCCCCCCCCCCCCCCCCCCCCCCCCCCCCCCCCCCCTGCGCCGGTCGCCCCCTGCATCCTTCAGGAGGGAAACAAAAAACAGAGACACAAGTGATCGTCGGTTCGCCAGAAAATGTGGGAAAATATGGGGATGGAGGGGGAAGACAAAAACCCAGAAAGTATAGGAAAATATAAAGGATCTCGCTATTTATGCATATTTGTTTGTGTGTCCCAGGGCCCCTGCAATCTTGCCCCTCCGAGGATGGCCCTGGGGAAGAGCCCCAGGGTGCAGGGCCCGTGCCACCAGGCTCCATTGTCCTTCGTGCAGAAGCTGGAGCGGTGGGGCAAATTGCGCTTCGGGGTTCCTCGGGCCCTTGCCTGGGTGCTCCCTCGGGCGCTCCTCGCAAACCGATCCGCGACCGAGGCCAGACGGGGCGCCGTTCCCCACGCGCGAGGATCCTCCTGGGGGAGGCGCTGTCTGCATGACGGTGGTCCGCCTCGCCCGCTGTCATGATTTTTTCAGGGCGCCAGGTCTCGACCGATTCCCCGGGGCCGGCGCTTCATCCTGAGTCGTTCTCGAGGGCCCCGAGGCCCAGTGTAAGGGCCTCCACAGGCCGACAAGATGGCGAACAACCTTCCGCCGTGATTTCGAAAAGGGCGAAGAACCTCCCATCGTGATGTTTGCCACGGCCCCGAGGGGGTCCGAGCCCCGGGCGCCTCCCCGAGAGCCGTGCCCCCTGGAGGCCTCGGCTCCGAGGGGCCCGTGGGGCCCCCGCTGCCGCTCTGCACACGCCTCCGGGGTGAAGGCGGGCGTGTCCCTCCTACAGGAGGGATGTTACAAAAGAATTAATATAAAAAAGCTCAGAGGACGATTGTGTGAATATTCTTTTGCCATTCTGGCATATTTTTTGCCTCTACAGGAGGAAGATTACAAAAGAAGCAAAAAAGTGCTCAGAGGACAATTGTGTGAGCGTTTTGTTTTGCCATTCTGGAATATGTTTGGCATGTTTTTTACGTTTCGTTCAGAGTCTCCCTGCAGGGGGACAGGCCCGACTCAGCCCTGGGGGGCGGGGGGCGGCGGCGGCGGAGGCCCCTCTCGGGCGGCGGGGGCGGGCGTCTGCCGCGGCGCCCGGAGGGGGGGGGGCTGGGCGAGCAGGCTCTTCCCTTGCCATTTCCAGGCGATCGCAGACATGGGTGACGGTCGAGCACGTGATTAAGATATGTCTGGCCTGTCCCCCATACAGGGGGATTTTCGACGAAACTTATAAAGTACCCCAAAAATGCCCCCAAAAAGTCAAAACATATTCAAAAAATAGTCCCCAGACTATTCTTGGATTATTTTTTGATTATCTTTGGGGTATTTTATTTTTCGTCGAAAATCCCCCTCCAGGGGGACAGGCCCGACTTAAGATTAAGAAACCTCCTCCAGAAAAGTTAGGCCAGCGTTTCTTGGCCAACCTGCTGGAAAGCTGCCTCCGCTTCTCCAGTGTTGATAACAGAACCTGGCCCAGGTGAGCTTTAAGAGACTTCCTCCTCCAGAAAAGTTGGGCCAGCGTTTCTTGGCCAAGTTGCTGGAAAGCTATCTCAGTTTCTCCAGCGTTGATAGCAGAACCTGGCCCAGGTGAGCTTTAAGAGACTTCCGAGAAGCTGGCGCAGATTTCTTAGCTGACAAGTTTGTTGATCAGATTGTCGGCTGTGACGGGGCGTGGATTAGCGGCGGGTCCCGTTTCCATGGGGAATCATGGATTTCCGCCGCCGAGCGAGGCGACACCGGCCGCATGTTTGGGAGGGCACCTCCCCCGATCCATGGATTTGGCGGCAGCGCTCCAAATCCATGGATCCCTAATCTACATTTGACTCTTCCCTTACCATTTTGCTGTTTTCCTCGCCCCCTGAAAGCTCGAGGCCCCTTCATCAGCTGGAGCTCGACGAGAGCTTCACGACGGCGGCGCTGATACGCCGATCGGCCTTCTGTAGGCTACGTTCAGGCTCCGGGACCGAATCGACAGAACGGCAAGGAATGCGAGCGATCACGGGTAAGGGGCCCAGACCTCCTCGCGTTGTGAAAAAAAGCACGACGGGAGGTTTTTCGTTATTGTCGCCCCCCCCTGGTCCGTCAGTGGGCCCCCCAGAGATAATCGCGTCGTAAAACAAAAAAATCAAGACGGGAGGTTTTTGGGTATTTTCGGTCCCGTGGGGCCTCGCCGGGCCTCGGGACCGTCAAAAAATGAACCGGTCCCGGGGAAAGGGTCGGGACTTCCAGGGACGCCGACCTGAAAAAATCAGGACGTCGCATGTCCAGGGCGGGGGGGGGTTCATTCTCAAGGGGCGCGTTCTGGCCAGAATTG